CTAAACCTTAAACCTTGAACCCTCAACCCTAAACCCTCAACCCTAAACCTAAAACTCTCAACCCTAAACTTAAACTCCTCAACCCTATACCCTAAACCTAAAACCCTCAACCCTATACCCTGAACCCAGAGGTCTTGGCCTACGCAGCTGAAGCCTATCGCCACGGCGCCCAGATTCTCGAGCAGACACAGGTTCAGCTTATTGGGGCTTTCCGGGCCAGAGCCCCTCAACCGTTTAGGGTTTCGGGTTTAGGGTTTGGGCCTTAGGGTTTAGGATTTAGGGTTTAGGGTTTAGGATTTCGAGTTTAGGGTTTCGGGTATGGGGTTTAGAGTTTAGGGTTTAGAGTTTAGGGTTGAGGGCTTAGGGTTTAGAGTTGAGGGTTCGGGGTTTAGGGTTTAGAGTTCAGGGTTGAGGGTTTGGGGGTTTGGTGTTCAGGCTTTGGGGTTTAGGGTTTGGGTTTGGTGTTTGGGGTTTGGGGCTTTAGGGTTTTGTAGTTTGGTTAGAGTTTGGAGTTTAGGGTTGAGGGTTTGTGGGCTTAGGGTTTAGGGATGTTTAGGGTTTAGAGTTGAGGGTTTGGGTTTAAGGGTTGCGGGATGTTTAGGGTTTGGGGCTTAAGGTTTAGGGTCTGGGGGTTTGGGGTTTAGGGATGTTTGGAGGTTCGGGGGTTTAGCATCTTTAGGGTTTAGGTTTAGGGTTTGGGGCTTTGGGGGTTTAGGGTTTAGAGTTTAGGGTTTGTGGGTTTGTGGGTTTGGGGGTCTGGGGTTTAGAATTGTGGGTTTAGGGCTTAGGGTGTAGAGTTGCGGGTTTAGGGTTTGGGGTTTAGGATGATCTTGAAGTGTCTGAAGGCAGGGGCGATTCTTGTCTATAGAGCCCTAGACGGCAGGATGGCGAACCCTAAACCCTAAACCCTAAATCCTAAACCCTAAACCCTAAACCCAAACGCTAAACTCCAAGACCCCAACCCCAAGAACCGCCCATGTAAGAACCAATGTAGAGACTGGTTCATCCCGTGCTGTCGTCGTCATGGTGTGATGTCAGTGATTCTCGAGTTTCTGAGCCCCAGCCTACATGTAATCTCGCAAATCAGCAGTTCTCCGGCACCCTAACCCTATCTTAGACTTCTTGAGCACTGAGCAAGCTCTATAATCCATAAACCCTTTATAGAACCCGCATATTCATTCCGTTTCCCTCAAAGCGTACAGCCCAAACTCCAGCTACACCATGAACCAGAAAGCTTAAGACCCCTCAACCCTAAATCCTCAAACTTAAAGGAACCCTAAACCCTGAACCCCGAAACCCTCGACCCGAAGCCTTCTTTTCTAAACCAGGAACCCCGAAGACAGCAACAGAAAAGGCCCAAAGGTTTCGAACTCCCAAATTCCAAGCCTCGAACCGAACATCTTTAGGCAGATTAGGTTTTGGCTTTAGGGGCTTTAAACCCTAAACCCTAAACCCTAAACCCTAAACCGTGGGTTTGTTTGTTTAGAGAGCCGAAAAGGCCAAGCACCAGTGGTCTGAGGGGCAGTCCTTCCTGAGAGGCTCAATGCTGCATCTAACGAATCTTGTGGACGGTGCCTTTTTCCATTAGCCCTATACCTTTAGGGTTTAGGGTTTAGGGTTTAGGGTTTAGGGTTTAGGGTTTAGGGACTATATAGTCTCCATTGTAGTTCCTTTGTTTGGTTTAACCAACTATCTTCCCCTTGATCCTATGAGGTAACCCCTAGAGGCAGCTACAATGGAGACTCGAGGCAGCCCCGCAAGCTCCATATCCTGACTTTTGGGGTTTAGGGTGGTTAGTATCGGCCCGCCCCATGTACCTCGACCCTCTAAACCCTAAGACCCGGACGGCTTTTGCTGTGTTCCTAGGTAGTAGTAGGGAGACCCCTCAACAAAGGGGACCCTTCTTGAACCCGTCTCTTGAAAGGGACCTTACTGAGAGGGTCTATATCCCCAAGGTCCCCCTAATCCTATGTATGGGTTCTAGACCTTAAGCATATCGTGGTCGTCGGCTTGTCGCGGCCTGCGATCATGTGCCTCTCCATCTTCATTGTCTTGAGCTGCCTCTTCCAAGCGGCTGCAGATGCCCCGACGTGCCAGAAGGCACATTCTTTTTGCAGGTGTTCAAACACATGATCGAAAGCCCTAGACTATAAGAACCCGTAAAGAAACCTATAATCATACAGCCCTTGCAGAACCCTTGCGGCCCTAGATTGGGAGTTCCGAAACTACGGGTCCATCTTCCCCCAACACTCCCCCTCAAGCCCCGGAAGCCCTCATCCTCTTTAGACCCAACTGCATCCCCGGACCCCCCCCCCTCTTTCACAATTCAATGTGCAGGGTTTCGCGATCAAGGAGCTTTGTGAACCAGTAAGTGGCGGTTGTGTTTTCTTTGCCAGAGGGTTTAGGGTTCAAGGTTTAGGGTTTAGGGCTTCTAGGGTTTAGGGTTTAAGGTTTGGGGTTTAGGGTTTAAGGCTTAGGGTTGAGGGTTTAGGATTTCAATAAAGGGGTCGAATAATTGATTATACAAAGTTTGCAATCGAGGTCCCTTATTTTACTATCTGAACACCAGTCTACACCTCACAACCCTATTCTGATAATGCAGTCTCCAGGCTCCTATAGCCTATGGCACGCAACTTCTCTAAATCCTAGTCCTTATGGCCGAAGAAAGAAGGCTCCAGACCCCTATAGCCTATGGTATACAACTTCTCTAAGCCCTAAACCCTAAACCCTAAAACCCTAAGACCCTAAGCCCTGGTCTCTATGGCCGAAGAAAGGAGCTGTACCTGCGGCTGCCGGAGCTACAGGCTGCCTTGGCTCTTCAAGAGGACCTCGTGGGCCAGGGCATGTAGTGAACCCAACTTTATTTAGGGTTTAGGGTTTAGGGTTTAGGGTTTAGGGTTTAGGGTTTAGGGTTTAGGGAGTGAACCAGATGATTCATGCTGGGATTCCCTATACTTTGCTTCAAGGCCATGAGGAGAATCATGTTCCAACTTTCGGACTCCTGCTGTAGGGGGTTTAGGGTTTAGGGCTGTTCGTTTCATATGGGTGTTGTGGGGACTTCTTTTAAACAGGGCCAGCATGGATTTGTTAGGGTTTCATAAGGATTGTATGGGGTGTGTACGAGTTTCACAAGAGAAGATGCAGGGTTTTCTCATTCCGCCAAGATCGAAGTACCAAGGCTTAGCCATACCGTCAGTTACGGCAGTCGTAGAGAATCCCAAGCCTCTTGACTCTTCTTCCCTGAATGCTGGACTGCTGTATGTTGGTACGGGGTTATGTACATACACTTCAGATCCGGTTTTTAGGGCCACAGTAAAGGGTTTAGGGTCTAGGGTTTAGGGTTTAGGGTTTAGGGTGTAGGGTCATAGTATATACTTATGATATAGCTCCTGCGGCGAAGTTATGCCGTGCTTCGTCTGATCTACGTTTGCAGGGCGGGGATTTTAGGGTTCAGGTGTTTGGGGCTTAGGGCCCAGAAGCTCCAACAAACCCGAAATTCAAGGGTTTCGGATTTTGAGGGGTCAGTAGCTGATCTTTCGTATTCTAGTCTGTCTATGTGGGAAACGAGGCAGCTTCTTGGCAACCTGGCTCTCAAAACTCCGCGTCAATACTAAACTCTAAGGACTTTCGGAGGGACCCCTAATAGGGACCCTTAATCCCATTACCTTAAATAACCATTGTATAGTCCCTATATACCCTCCTAAAGCCCTACAATAAACCCTAAACCCGCTCGCCTCGCCCATGGCAACCCGAAATTCTTAAGACATGAACCAACGATCGTTGAAATTCGGAGGTCACTACGTGTTCAGGGCTTGGGCCATGGATGAAGGAAGCGAAATATTTACTTCAGGGCGACTCGCAGGCTCTGCAGTTTGTTCCATGCGAAAGGAGTGAGGCCCTTTCAGTGTTCTGCAGTTCGCCTAGTTCACCTAGATCTGTCCCCCCAAGACCTTCCAAACCCACATGCCCAAACCCGAAGCTCTAGACCAAAGCCGCAGTCCCTTAACACCTCAACTCCAAGTCCTAACGCCTAAAGAGGCCCTAAACCCTAAATCCTAAAAACTCTCAAGGACGCTCGCAGCTTCTTGCAGTTGATAGCAGCCTTTGCACTGGAAACTGCCGAAGATGTCAGAGACGAAGGTGGCTCATCCACCATTCTACAGTTCAGGATTTAACGAGATTTTCGGCTGCCGGAGTCTGAAGTCTAGCCTGCCGTTTTCCGGCTTGGGTTTTGAGTTTTAAGCCCCCGGGGTCGGGGCTCAGACCTTATGAAGGTTTGAGTTTGAGTGTTTAGCCAGGATTGCGACCCAACATAGCACCAGCAAGAAAAATATACCGATATGTATGTATGTATGTATGTATGTATGTATGTATGTATGTATGCATGCATGTATGCATGTATGCATGCATGTATGCATGTATGCATGTGTGCATGTGTGCATGTATGCATGTATGCATGTATGCATGTATGCATGTATGTATGTAAGTACGTACTTAGGAGGTATAATCTTCATACAACCCAACACCCGAAACCGCGGTCATGTTTCTGCTGAAGGTTTCAGTGGAGATCCTGAGCTCTTGTTCCACTGCTTGGACAGCTTCCGCTATGCCGCGCTGGTTTCCTCGCTAGTCGAGGCACATTGCTCCTTCAACTCAAAACACTTTGTTGCGTGATGTTCTGGCAAGCTGAGTATAGGCTCGCTTAGCGCTACTCTGCATGACGGCAGCTTTGACCGCGTTACTCGTCCAAAGCCGGAATTCTAGATTTCCAGACCAGACTCCGCATCTCAAAGCACTATTCACGAGAAGAGTGTTTGGTTCGAGGGCTGCAGTTGTAGTGTCACAGGCAGCATGCGGGGGTTGCTCCAGGAGTTTTCTGCGTTCAACGCAGCACGGCGCTACAAGTCGCTGGGCTCTGCTCGTACGGCTTTTTCTGCACTTGTTTTTGGGTAAGTTGATTCTGATCTGTTCTTCTGTGCAGATGCTGTCCGATCTTCAGTTCGTAGCAGCAGCAGCAGCAGCAGCGGCACCGGAAACAGCAGACAGCCGGAGGAGTAGAAGACGAATAACAACCGTGGTGGTGGTGGTGGTGGTGGTGGTGGTGGTGGTGGCGGCGGTGGTGGTGGTGGCGGTGGTGGTGCTGGTGGTGGTGCTGGTAGTGGTGGTGCAGGTGGTGGTGCTGGCGGTGCTGGTGCTGGTGCTGGTGGGTGCTGGTGCTGGTGGTGGTGGTGCTGGTGCTGGTGGTGCTGCTGCTGGTGGTGGTGCTGGTGGTGGTGGTGGTGGTGGTGGAATTTGGTGGTGGTGGTGGCTGTCATTGTCGTGGTCGTGGTGGCGGTCGTGTTAGCGATATCGGTAGTTCGTGGTAGCAGTGGCGACAGCGGTAACGGTAGCCGTAGTGGTCGTCGTCGTCGTAGTGACAACACCAGCAGCCGCAGCAGCAGCCGCAGCAGCAGCAGAAGGAGTCGTACGGTAGTAGTAGGTTCGGAAGTTCAGTATATGGTAGTTGGTAGTGGTGGTCGTAGCAGTAGTACTGATCGCACCAGTACTAGTGGTAGTCATCGTCGTAGTAGCAGCAATAGCAGTAGCAGTAGCAGTAGCAGCAGCAGTAGCAGCAAAAGCAGGAGCAGGAGCTGTAGCTGCGGCAGTAGCAGTAGCAAGAGCAGGAGCAGTGGCAGTGGGAGTAGGAGTAGGAGCAGGAGTAGGTAGTAGTAGCTGTAACCGTCCTGGTAGGTACTGACATGGTGGTGCTGCACATGGTGATGACGACGGTGACAACAACAGGGGTGGGAATGAGGATGGTGATGATTTTGCTGGTGAGGATGACGATGCTGATGAGGAGGACGATGATGAGGATGATGAGCATGATGCGGAGTATACTATGGCTTTCAGTACGGGCATGAACGATTAAAATGTAACAGCAAAGCAACACAAGCAACCATCAACGGCTTGAGCAACCATGAAACCCTGAACCTTCAACCCCTAAGCCCAAGAAATCCCAAAATTCTACTTCCAAGCGTTCATCAAACTTCCCTGGTCTTCCCATGTCCCAATCCTAGGCTTTATTGAAAGTCCTGCACCCTAAACCCTAAACCCTAAACCCAGGTGGCTCCGCCTTGCACTCTTCCGTGTCGGCCTGGCTGTTACAGCCGCCGCTTTCGCCGGCAAAACCGCGCCCCAAGGAGGCCTGGAGAAGGACGAGTTCTCGGCAGGCTTCTGTTTTGTCAGCTACATAGTTATCATGCATGGTTAGTATTTTGTAGGGCTTATCATGAAGCTGATGATTAGTTTTCATCCCAGTCTTTATTCAATGGTGTTTCTTCTTCTTTTGCTGGTTTTCCATGTGGCGGAGATGCTTTTGGGGATGGTTGGAGTTGGAGAGGCGAAGAGTTTCCAGAGATTGAAAAACCGCAGCAAGCCCTAAACCCTGTAGTTTGTCAATTTGTATGCCTGCATAGAGGATTTCGACCCAGAAGCGCAGAACAGCCCCGAAGCCCCAAGACCCGAAACGCGCGAGTTTTCAAGGAGCTCTGGGTAAGCATTTAAGGTTTCGGGTTTAGGGGGAGTCTCTGTGAAGCCGAGGGCTTGGGCTTTTTTGGTGTTGGTAAACACGGCACCTTTTCTCTCAAACCCCCGTTTCGAAGAGACACCGACGCCCCAGAACAGAATCATGCCCTGCACCCAAATACCCGAAACCCTTGCGCCCAGAAGCTTGAACCCGTAAACCCTAAACCCCTAAACCCTAAACCTAACCCCCGAGTCCTAAACGCTCATTCTCTTAGACCGCATGCCTGTGAGGTCTTGGCGATGTGTTGGCTTTACGATTCCTGCAGGAGCCAGATCTCAGGGGTTTTTGTTCGGTGTTTGGAGGCTTTAGGGGGTCGGGATCTCAACAGAGGTTTGTGTGAAACCTATGATTCGCAGACTCGCGGCGAGGTTTTGTGCAATTGTAGTTTGGGTTGACAGGGCTTGGGATGTGAGGTTGGCTGTTGAGCGGGACATGGGGCTGGGGCACGTATAAACAAGGCGCCTTAAGACGTAGAAAAAAGGGGTTTTACAGAGTTGAACATGGTGTTGTAGAGTTTTCCAGCGTTTTGCTCTAGGACCTGACGCATAAGACTTTGCTGTTGATGTACATTACTGAGTTATGCCAGAACCCATTTTTCTTAATATTATTGGGACTTTCAGGGGATGCTGTTCTGCCAAGCCCGGAATCCAGCGCCCTGTTGCAACAGACAAAATCACGAACAAATCTTGATCCTGAACCTTGAAAAGCTTACATGAACCCTGAAAACTAAAGCCACAGCCCTAGATTTCGGGTTTAGGGTTTATATAAAAAACTACAGCCACAGCCCTAAACGTCCCATAACCCCAAGGAGGAGCGGGGTGTGGCAGCTTTCGTGGATTTGGCTCGAAGACCGGCCTCTGTCATGCACTTTGGGGGTTTGGGGTTTAGGGTCTGTGAGGGTGCTATTGGTTCCATAGGGGCTTGCGGTTTAGGCGTTTTAATTTTTCGGGGTTGGGGGTCGAGGGTTGGAGCTGTAAGGTTTCGTGGCTCAGTGCTTAGGGTTTAGACTATTGTTGGTTTAGGGAGGGGTCTGGTTGCGTAGGAATCCTAGACCCGGTTTGGGTTTGGAGCCCTAAGTTAAGTTGCCAAGGCGGCATCTGTACTTGGGGCCAACCGCTCCAGGTCGAAATTCGTTTGACTTGGCGTTCAGGCGTGTTGGTATCATACATGAAGGTTCAACGGGGAGTAAAGGGAGCCCTGAGTAAGGGTTTAGGGTTTGTCACGGTAGCTATGGTTTAGGTGTTGGGTTCATTAGGTAACTACAGTTGTAATATGTTAAAGTTGCTACGACTATAATATGTACCCTTGCTACAGTCATAATTCATCCCCAGTTACGACACTTATGATGCTGCCATACCGTACTCACAGTCACAAGGAGCCTTGACCCTTCAAGTAGGGTTTTGGGTTTGTGGATCTGCGCGGTTTAGGGTTTAGGGCCTAGTTGAGGGCTTATGTCTATTACTTCTGCCGAATCTTTAAACAGTCTCCCTTGTACTACGGGTTCAGTTTTATATTCCGCTCATGATACCCAGGCGCCCAGCCCGAAAACTTAAGCTTCGTGAGTCTGGGTCCAGAGACGGGCTGTTTGTTGCCTCTCAGTTTGGGTTTAGGGTTTAGGGATTTAGGGTTTAGGGTTTAGGGTTTAGGGTTTGGGGTTTAGGGTTTAGGGGTTTGGGTTTAGGGTTTAGGGCACACATCAATCGATCCTCTAACATACACGAGGACACCAGTGAAGAGGCGCAAGTCCTTGTTGCGGGAGGTGGTGTTGAACAGGGGTTCCCTACACGCATATCAACATAAAGAGTGTCCTCCTCACTTGGGATGGTCTAAGGGATCCTCTTACGGGTCCTCACAGCAATGCGTTGGGAAGGACCCTGGATAATTCTCAATGTGCTCCAGATTCAAGGTCCAAGTAGCCAAAGACCCATTCAGAGCAAACCTCAAGCCCAAAAAGTTCGGTACTTGGATTTCAGGGTCGGGGTTTGAGGGTTTGGGGGTATCTGCCAATCTGCCAAGGTGCCGAGGATCCATCCAACGGTTCACATCGCCCTGAAAGAGCTCACCAGCTTGCTGTGCTTGGAGTTGCTCTGCGGGATTGCGGGAGTTCCCAAGGCGTTGCATTTTGGATGGGGGAAAGAATACAAGGATCAGTGCATGCAGTAAAACCCAAAAGGTTGGACAATGGAACATGACGAATAGTGCTGGTATTCCTCCCTCGCGGCGTGAGGACATTGAACTATTGGAGGCTGCTGCGGACTCCAGACCACAAGCCCACAACCCTAAACCCAAAAAATTAAGACCCATGGGGCTGACGGAAAAAGGCGTTCAACAAAACAAAAAAACCCAAAACCGAGGCCCTAATGCTTTAGGCTTGCCGGCAGGGCTCAGGCGGCCAGGCAAGTTTTTGTCCAGGGACCACGAAGATGCAGAACAGAACCGAAGACCTTATCGTAAATCATTTCGCGCCTGTAGGTAAGGTTTAGGGTTTGAGGTGTTTAGGGTTTAGGGTTTAGAGTTTAGGGTTTATGGTTTAGGGTTTAGGTTTTAGGTTTAGGGTTTAGGGTTTAGGGTTTAGGTTTAGGGTTTGGGGTTTAGGTATGTTGTATTTTTTTATCCAGTAGAGGAGTCAGGCTCCGTGGCCCTCCCAAGCTTGCCACCCGAAGCCCTAAATCCAGAGACCCCAAGACCCTAAACCCTAACACCCTAGACCCTTAAGCCCTAAACCCTAAAACCCTAAACCCTTGAGCCCTAAACCCTAAAGCCCTAAACCCCTAAAAGCCTAAACCTTGAGGCCCGACTTTTTTCTCTTTGTATCGTCTATTCCTTAAGCACCCGGACTTTGGAGTCTGTGGTATTTTTTCAGGTTCAGCTCTGCGCCATCCGATGAGCAGCTGAACCTCTTCCAGCAGTCGGGCCTACTTGGCCTCGCAGGTGGGGATCTGTGGAATAGAGCTAAGGGTTTAGGGTTTAGGGTTTAGGATTTAGGGTTTAGGGAAGGGTGCACTGCATCTCAAAACAACAAGTCGAAGACTCATCAAGGCCTCAGCCGGCAAGGAGAACATTATGATGCACCACGATTGTTTCAATCATGAATTCGGATGTGCTCTTACATACATCCATAAACAAACAAACACATACACATGTATGTAAGGCTCACTACCTAGCTACCCAACCACTCTGCCTGCCTGCCTGCTTGCTTGCCTGCCTACATACATACATACATAC